TCTCGTACCTTCTAGCAATCGCGACCGTCTTCTCTTTGTGGGACTAGCTGCTTCAGAAGAATCTTTTCTTGGAATAATTAATCTTTTTACAGCAATTGGCTGTCCCCCTGTTTTGAATGTGACTACATTTTGTGGATTTTTAGTAGTGAAAAGTTTTCTTTTAAACAAATGTGTGCTGACATCATCCTCCCTCTTACTGAGAGGTGCATCTAGAGGTTGGCTGAGTGAGTGAGCTAACGTGTCTGACTCATCTAAAGTTTTGAAAAGTGGGGATGTTGTGCTGTCTTGGTGAACCTTATCTGTTTGTAGGCACATTGGAGAAGTGCCAATGTCTTTCAACTCTGGTTTTGAAGGTCTTAGTGGTGTTGATGTTGCAAGAGGGATTGAAATACATGTAATTTCATTCTGTTCTGCACTTTGTGTTTGTGAGGGAAAAACAGTGTTTATGTGGGAAGAATGTGGTGTGTTTGAACTAGAGGGTCTGGTTGTTGGGTCATCATATGTGGAGGTTGTTTGACTGGGTGTGACAGGGCTGTGTTGTGAGTGGAGGCTAGGGCTGGTGCTGGGAGAGTCACCAGCAACTGTTGCGGCGGGCTCCTTTGCTGGTTTCAGGCAGCCATCTGACAAATTGACACGATGACGGCAAACACTGCAATCTTTTATCGTAGTTTGATTCTCGAATGTACACCATATGTGTTGACTGTTTCTGACCAGATCTCGCGCTTTTTTAAGGGTGGATGGAGTGGTATTCTTCTTAGTATCATATATCCTCATGTGGCATTTGTGGCAAATAAACTTCGAATATTTGTCATCTGTGTCTTCTCTAATGTCAATTTCATAAATTAATAAAATATCACTTTGCAGTGAGTCACATGTCCTAGCCTTTCTTTTTTGCCTCTGTTGTACTTTAGTCACGTTCTTACACCCGCAAATGCGACAAAGTTCATTCAGGGAGGAGGAATGTATCTCGTGTGTGTGTTCCATTTGGAGATTTCAGTAAAACTGCTATACATGAATCACGGGCAAATGGATTCTACCTAATATCGTAACATGGCTCAATCAACAAAAATGAAATTTATACACAATAAGCACAAATATGTCTGCCTTTCATAGAAACAACAATCTATGAAATTAACGGTGAACTGTTGAACTTAAAACAGTATAGAATCCAGAATACACAGTTGCATGGGACAAATAACAATCACTGGCTGAGAATCAGATGTAAACGACTTAATATTGCAATAACTATTCTTCAAACGATGATGAAAATTACACACGTAAAGCACAAATATGTCATCAGTACATGTACCAAAATTTGTTGAGATTGATCGAGCACTTTTGAAATTAGAAGTGAATAAAGTGCAGCACACACAGATTAAATTCAATGAAATTCAGAATATTTTGCACACACTGTAACATCGGCAAATATCGCCACATTAAGATCGGGTTTTCGTAGAGTGAGAGAGAGAATTTTGGTCTTTTCTTTTTGTATGGAATATTTCGTGGTTAGAGTGAGGATACTGCCGCTAATTAGTGTCAAACATGTCGATTACGCCATGACCTGCCCGCCTGTAGCTGATGCGCAACGGAGCGGCCAGTGACCCCCGCGTAACCCGGCACGGAGCGGTTCCGACGGTGATTTAATGACTTCCAGATGTCGCTGGCCTGGGAAACTATGAGGCACGATTTCGGCCAGTTTTCGAATAATGAAATCGAAGATGCCGTCATTTTCCCGCCAGTTCGGCAATTTTAATCATCAAAATTATTGTTTTTCGGCTCACCACCTCTTATATTCAGTTATATTTAAATACATATTTCTGTGTGAATTTCACTTTAAAATAGTGACGAAAGCCACAAAAAATGTAAATTATCAGTTTCAGAAGTATCTAAAGTTTTCAGTCACCAAAAGCGGCCATTTAATTCTCTCACATTTTACCTCCAACATCATGCGACCTTCACGTCCTTCAATGGCAAATATCTCAACTTCTATTTAAGACAGATGGATTTTTGTTGTTGTTGGTTTTTTTGTTTGTTATTTTAAAGTGTCTCGATCTTTCTGTACATGGGACTTACAATCCCTCTCAAATAAGATCACAATTGGCCTCAACAGGCGGGGTGAAGCCTGCGTCCTATTTTAAATGATCTAAATTGCGTTGAAGGGGACGTAAAAACACCTATTTACTGAAAAACGTAGATTAAAGGCACAAAAGATGTAAATTTTCATTTCCAAGTTCTCTCAAGCTATGGAAAATTCACAAAACATAGGAGGCCGTTTTCTCACTAATTTTTCCTCTGAAACTGGGCGCGATCCTACCTCCTTCAATTGCAAATCTCAATTTTGCATTCAAGATAAATGTGTATCAATGTTCAAATCGAAAGCAGAACAAATGTACAAGCTTTAAGATGATATCAATAACTAGACATGCTCAAAACTTGACGAGCACCTGAAGCTGATTCCACTCAGTCGTGATACAACAGCAATTATTACAAGACTATATGTGTCACCACAAAATAATGAAGACTTTATTGATGACTGACTGAAAAAAGTTTATACAACAGGCATATTTATACATTACATTAACACACTGTTATATGATTTTTCAAATGCAGTAAGACACATACGATATCACATGACACGATACGAATGGGGACAAGAAGACGAGACAAATTCTAAAGGTATAAAAGAAGACAATATACAGTCCAACTTACCTAAAACAGCCACCCATTATCAAGGAGAAAAATGGCCATCTTTGACAAGTGCTTGTCTTACACAGGTTCATTACAATGCGGAAAAAAAATCTCAAGGGAAGGGGATGATCAGAAGTGGCCGTTAGTACAGGTATTGTCTTATACAGGTGGCCTTTAAAGTACTTATAGGTGTGACTGCATTGCCTCAGGGGGTTAGCTTAATATGTGAGACGTACTGACGAAATGAGTTACTTCTCGCAATCCAAAAATGGAGATATTGGCCAAAAATCAAGATTAGGGTCAAATTTGTAAATTTTTATATTGATGCCATTTTCTTTAAGTATAACATGCCTCTTATTATTTCATACATATTATAAATTTTAAAGACTTCACCTATAAGCTTGATGTATCTATTTCCATGGGTCTCGAATCCAAGAAGTAACTCATTTTGTCAGCACGCTTCACATATATAGATCTGCCATGATCTAACTTAGCTCATAAACGAAGATATTATGAAGGTTTTACATCTTTGTTACATCTGAAATTTTGGTCAAGATAGTATCTTGAGTACCAGTCCGAAGATCTTTTTTTTGGAAGTAATTAGAAACCTAGAGTCCTTGAATCAAACAGACTTGCATCAAACAGACTAGCACAAATAAAAAGTAAAACCAAATTCTTGTACAAAAATAACAGACAAGAAAAAAGATTGTCGAAGATTCATCCATGTTTACACAACACTGATGAAGAATGTTGAGAAACAGTGGGAAGTCCCACACATGATAATTGGCGTAAATATTATAAAGTGTTTGTTCATAACATTTTTATGACAAACCTAGATTATCTCAAAGTCACTTTTAAGCAAAACCATACTATGGAGCGGAACATTACACTTCTGATGGATCAATATCAAACCAGTGTTTAATACTGGTCATTACTGGGGATCGTAGGCTCTATGTTTAACGATTTCGTTTTCTATACCTTGGAAAGTCTGATGATGTAATTATGGCATGGTTATGTACATTTTACTCAGCAATAACATCATCAATATAATATAAAAAAACTAAATCCTGTCAGCGGACACATGGTGTAGTGTTATGATGGTGTATACTAAATATTTTCAATGTTTGAATGCACTTCTGCTTGGTACTAAAGTTTAGGATTTAAAATATTCTATATTTATTTAACACACAATTACTTGAGCACTCAAGATGAGTAAAAAATACCCTATTTTTAAACTATATATACATCATGACGGGTACATTATATATATATATGGAACAGTTTCGCGACAAAATGCAACAAACACCACTTTTCAAGGTTGGCCGAAACTAGTAGGCCTATCATCTTATCTAGAGAAAGGCAAGGCACACTCCAGGGTCAACTTTGTTCTTCACAGAGTACATTTGTTCCTCATTCAAACATTGCGAAAAGTTGGGCTTTTTTTTAAACAAAACGTAACAAAAGAGGTAGACCTTTTTAGACAAACCGCGACATATCCTCTTTTTTTTTCATACAAGTTCATAAGTTGCTTTCTCTCCTCATTTTCTCTTTTTCATACAAGCTCAAAATTTATTTTCATTTACCATGATTTGTTTTTATTTTATTACTACACTGCCTGTAAACCACTCTGAATCTCATTAATGATTAATGTCTTACCTAATCGGTCATATTATTTATTACTATTGTCGATCGTGCCCTATTGTCAACAGTCACATTCATTCATATTAACCAAATCAACAAGAGCTAGTCATAAAGGCATTTAAAAGTCAGATGCAATCGTGATAATTTTAAAAATTTAAAACTGTGATTTTCAGAGCTTCTGTTTTGATGTGATTTTACAGTGATTTACTTATAATAATAATAATAATAATAATAGATAGCATTTGTATAGCGCGTATCCCCGCTCAACAGCAGGCTCTATGCGCTTTACACTATATTATTACCCCAGCAGACCATAGAACACTCCGAAACATTCTCAGCTTCCCGGGAAGCATACAGTGCGAGCAGCCGATTAAGCGCTCAATCACTAACAAACTGACAAGATCTTTCGCTGTCTATAGCCGGGTACCCATTCCCACCTGGGTGAAGTGAGGAAAATAAGTGTAAAGTGCCTTTCCCAAGGACACAACGTCGGGCCCCTGACTGGATTCGAACCCACGACCTTACGGTTGAGAGTCCGAGAGTTTAACCACTAGGCCACCGACGCCACTTAGTTTTCATTCATGATTTTACAAAGGTTCCGATAACTCTATACTTTTGTAGAGAGCAAGAAGAAATTGTATTGTTATTTATATAAACGTTGTGATACACAATCCAGTATTACCAACTTTATTCAACAAAATGATTACCTACAATTATTGCCATGGTGCCCTAGCAAATCGCCTCGGTGCCCTCTGATTTTTAGGCCCCACCGAGGCAATTTTTGCCTGCCCTCCAGAACACATAATTCAAGATCTGCTGTTGTAAATCTCGATGAGTTGGTACAATGTAAAAAAAACTATGCCACTGTGAGGGGTTATATCTTCATGACATATTTGGTAATGACCGCTTGGATTTCTCTTACAGCTGCAGTGGCGTCATCGACGGCAAAGCTGTCAAGAGTATTGGCGATATATTTTCCAAAGCGTGCATGTGCAGATTCTGGGGTTGCTGCCGAGCTGGGATTCTGTTTCTTCTTTTTCTTGGGTGTTTGTCCGTCCGGTGGAGAATGAACCCCACTTTGGCTAGGTGGGGGATGCTTTGAAGCTGCAATGCTGGTGGCTGGACATTTAAAGATCTGCAGAGACAACAGGTTCCTGGTTTTAGTAAGTGTTATAGTTTTATGGCACTTGCAACACAGTTAGGTCAAACAAGTGCTGAAGATAAGAGGTGTTACAAGAGAGTAACGAACACATAAAAGCATGAGAGATAGGGACGAAAGTTGTTTCCTAGGAAAGAAGGGGCAAACCACGTCAGAGCACCTGCCAACCATCCATTTACAAAAACAAGTTCGGCTGCAAGGATAAGGTTAGTGCATCAATATTAAAAAATGTATACTGTTGTCAGATGACAACATGTGAATATTAGGACGCTAGAGGAGGTTTTGACCAAAAAAAAAGCCAGCCTTTAGTACCAAACAAGCAGCAACTCTGTACACGTACCCAAAAGGTGGGTGGTTGGCAGGTGCTCTGGTGTGGTTTGCTAGTTTTTTCATACCAAACATCTATTGTCCTTATCTCTCTTCATTCTCTTTTGTGTTTGTTACTCTCTTGTAGTACCTCTAATATAAGGGGATTATATATGACCTCGTTGTGTTACAAGTGCCGTAAAACTTTTTATTAAACCTAAAAGTACCCTAGGGGCGCAAGAAGACAGGAAAGGTCTCCTTGGTGGGAGGCATGGGGTGGGGGCAACTATACGTCCCCTTTCTCCTTTTTTTTAATAGTAGAGGGTTTTACGGTGCTCGCAACGGCATAAGGTCATATGAGCGCCAAGGGGTGGGTGTCAACAGAGAAGTCTTTACAGGGAATCAGACTTATTCTGCTCACCTCTCTAGCTTCAACAGCACAAGGTCTGCTTCGACTATCCAGGCATCCCGGAAATAGCAAGTCACAAGAGAGTGACAAACGTACAAAAGAAGTAGAGGAAAATGACAATAGTAAGGATTAGGAAAGAAAAAGCAGCAGTTCCCTGTTGCACATCAGGCAGTTATGAGCGTGCGCGTGACATGAATCAGCCCATTTACAATTCTGCTGAGCTTGAACGAGAAATGTCCCCCCTTAGGGAATGGCCTAAAGACACTACAGTCAGGGGCACCGCCCCGGGGGATACCCCTTTCTTCGAAAGAAACCTATTAAATTAAAACTGTAGAAGGAGTTTCTGAGTACTTGTGTGGCCTTTAAAGCTTCAACATGTAATACGGCAATCCAGAGTGTCAGAATATTTCCAGATTACGTGTTTATCCTTTTTTCACCAGAAAAGGGACAATTGTGAACAACAGAATGGACTAAGCGGTAAATGATTAAGATCCATAGGCCAAAGCAATATCATTAATTAAATATATATACTATTATACTGCCGACCCTGAATGGGGTGGGGAATGCAAACAAAGGCAACCTAGTGGTTCACATCTACAAACTTATAAACTATGCAGTGGAACTCTGCTACAGATGGTTACAACGAGGATATGACGTTAAATGTCCCACTATTCAGACAAGAATCAAAATAGAAACTACGAAGAAAGAGAAAAGATAGAAAGTGGGATCAAGAACAAAACTGGACATGCTGAGAAGTTGTCACATCCTTGTAGCAAAAACAAGTCCGTAAAGTCAGCAAGAATCGAACAGAAGAACACCTTTGTTGGAGTCAAATATGCAAATCAAAATGACATAAACATCCATGAGGGACAAACAAAAAAATCAATTCGAAAGTTTGCCGACAGAAATGCCCCCCCCCCCCTCCCAATATAGGCCTATTATGCTCTGAGTCCAGGGCCACTCACCCATCAGCACTAAAAAAAATTTGTTTTAGTAATCCACAGATAAAAAATTAGTAATCTGGCTTAAAAATTTGTAAATGGCCACGGATCGTCTTCTTCCCAAGGGTGTCAAGAACTAGGGCTGTAGCCAAGTATAAATTTATTGTAAACAAAACGTATCCTGATTGTGCATCACAACACACCATGCCACCTACCCATAATTGTTAATTGTTTCAAGTTTCAAACAATGATCCTTATTATTATTATTAATTTGTAAATTCTCACTTTGGCCTGGACTGTAACTCACAACACTTTACTTTACTTTTCTGATCCAGCGGCCATTTAGGTTCTAGCCCTTCGGTCTGTTGATATGGCAAAGAATTTGCAGGTTTTAATCAGCTATGCTTTGTCGATGTATAGAGTATTTCCGATAACTCACAACACAAAAGGCAGAAATTTTCTAACACCTTGTCAACATAATGTTTGCCTTAAATTTACTCCTGGCTTTGGCACTTAAGTCTCAAGTCTAAAGTTTTTCGAAGGGTAAAGTAGCACTGAGCGACATCAAGGTCCCAATGCAAAGAGAATTTTTAAGTTAGGCATTTGAATAGACTTTCACTACTTTCAGGTCTGGTAGTTTTTTTCTCCCCTGGAATAATACTAATACAGGTAAATTTTTACTTTCACTCCCGCACATTGATACAATACTTTGGAGGTCAAACTGCAGTATTTTTTGCTGCAGATCACACATAAAGCTACTAAAACTGTCGCAAATCAATTAATTTCAAGAAAATTTGAAACCTATCAGCAAAATATCAAATTAGGCCTATGGGTTAAAACAGGCAGGCATACACTCCCCCCCTCCCCCTAGAAGCCGAACCCCCCAGTTCTTTTTTTTTAATTCAGAGGGGGGAGTTGTCTTTTACACAAAGTTGTGGCTAAAATCTAAACAGAGATGAGCATGAGATGCAAATCACGAAAAAGCTGAGAAATGCAGGAAAACTGAGCCTAGACACAAAATCCAAATTCCAGAAAAACCCCAAAGCCTTTGTTGTTTTTTCTAAAAATCTGAAAGACAATAATATTTAAAAGATACAGATTTGTTGGTGTCAAAGCTATCCACTTATAGGACTTTATAGTGCGGTCAAAAATGCATGGCGCAACATATTGTGAAATATCTCCTTGCCTATCGAACAGTCTCCAACTTTTGAACAATGACTTTTATCAATTTATCTTAACAGATGAATATTTTCTCAAACTCCTGCACACTGTGTTCTAGAAAATTCTTTCATAAATACAAATAAAAAATCCCAGTCAAAGGTTTCTATAGATTTTTAAAAGTTTACAGCTCGGGCAATATCGCTTTTAAAAACAAGTCAGTCATTTTTTTCTTCTAATCTCTATATTATGCTCTTTATTGAAAGTATGTTTAGGGAACCTTTAGTGCAAAAAATGGGTTCGCTATAAAATTAATTTTTTTTGGCAGAAGTTCTGCCACTAAAAAGTGTTATTGGCGAGCTGTGATGTAGGCCATACGCGTATAAAATGTATGTGAGAAGCGGGAAGCGTTGTGAACAATCACATTTTCTGTGTGATGGAGATTTATAGTAGGCCTATTTTATATTAATTTTTGAAGAAAGGGTTTTTAATCCAGCATGAACTGATGGGGAAAAATATGATTAAGTTAAGAGAAATTGATACAAACTGATATATATATATATATATATATATATATATATATATATATATATATATATATATATATATATATATATATATATATATATATATATATATATATATGCAAAGTAAGGGTGACATTGATGCACCCATTAAAGAGATATATTTGAGGATGAGTTGCGCCACGAATTTTTGATCGCATTATAAGTCTGTTTGGGTACTTTTCACGCCAGAGACAAAAAAAAAAAGTTTTTGTTGTGTTGTTCCTAATAGGAATAATGAAAAGCAAAAAAATTGTACGCCTTGACCACTGCATTAAACAGCATTATGATGATGTTGAGAGACGCATCTTTGACACAGCTTTGGGAGGGTGTAAAAAAAGAAATTTTTTATTTCACTTCAGGTGGATTGCTTGTGAAAGCAATAAAATTTCCAAAGAAGCTACACAGAAACATAATGTACCTTATTTTGGAAAATGGGACGTAAAAACTCATCTAACAGGTTAAAGTTGACCCATTCAGGGTTGTATGCATTGAAAGAATACTCGTATACTTGACGGAGCTCCTGTTTGTACTTGGTCATCCAACCGTTGAACTTTTTATTCCAGGCTGAAACATTTTCGTCTGAAAACAAAAAAACAAAAACAAAAATATAACTTTAATGTGCAGTAAAAATTGTCAAAATGGTCATCCGTTGAAAAAGGAGAAAACTGGTTGCATGTCTTTCTTACACAGAGGTAGACTTCTTGTACAGTACCGTGTCATCATAACATAATATTTGTGCCACGACATGGTGGAATCAGGCGCTCGTCACATTTCGTGACGGAGTTAACGTTAAATATAGGAAAAAAGAATATATTAATCCGCAGACAGGAAAAAAGAGGCAAAAACAGCACCTTGACATTGATGGCTGGTGCCTCTAAAATAAATCATCAATAGTCATGGTCAAGATGAAGTTATTGGTATCATCCTAAAGCCTGCTAATTTGTCTTACTTTTGATGACAAGATACTCATCTATTTTGACAATGAATGGCAGCTCAGATATATTTGCGATTCAAGAAGGTGGGGGGCACTTGATTTCAGAGGTAAAATTAGCAAGAAAATGACATATAGTTAGTTGACTTCCAAAGCTTAAAAATCCTTGAAAACTACACAATTACATTTTTGTACCTTTCGTCCAATAAAATCCACAAGGAAGTGTGTTTTTAAATTAACTTAAAAGCTGTTCAGCCAAAAACAAAAATTGCCAAAAGAGCACAAAAATGCCGGTTTCTTCGATTTCATTATTTTGACGAGCACCTGATTTCATCATATTATGTTACTTTATAACACAAAGCCGAAGTAGAAAGTGGTCATTTGTAGGCTTACTGGTGATCACTTATTGTCTGGGGCAGGTGGTGATTAGAGCAGGTCGGACTACATTTCAATCACACCTTCCTGAACCTGGAAAAAGACTTTTTAATTTGATAAAATTACAGAAATAAAGAGGGAGTTCTCTCACTTCAGCACCTTAATTATAAATCCCAAAGTGATGTCATTATAATACAGGGCAATACAGCAGATGTGATGGAAAGAAGGAAGAAGGATTGTTTACTTTTTCATGCCCACGTTTGCACTATTCTCTCTCTCTCTCTCTCTCTCTCTCTCTCTCTCACACACACACACACACATACAATATAATATTATAGGCCTATATATATAATATATAATATAATACAGCCACATGGAAAGTGGCCATTTGTACATGTGGTCGTCTTGTATAGTTAAAGAGGTGGCCGTCAGGGCATTTTCGACTGTACCTAGGCCTAGATCTAGACCTACCACCCAAATGTTGCCAAATAGATATCTAGATCTAGATCTAGATCTAGATTCTCCATGGACCTAAGCTACAACCTCCTTGCTCTAGGTCTAGAACTAGATCTGTATCTAGATCTAGATTTAGATTTTAGATATACAGCTCATCTGCAGTTGAAAATTAAATAATTAACCTACCTGTCACAGGAACATTATTTTGTATAAGAATTCTTTGAAGCGCATTCCGCCTCAGATCGCTGTTCTTGTATGCAGGATCTGATGGATCCCATAAACATCGTTGGGCTTTAAAATGCCCAATGCACGCACTAGGTTCAATTTTATCCATGTCCGATTTCTAGTGTTCCAATACGAGGACCAAAAGTGTTGCCGTCTCTCTGGAATCTAGATCTAGATCTAGATCTTGACTAGATCTAGAATCTTTGTCGCCTGTCTCTCACACCCCACACCTTTCGCTCGTTTCAATGAGAAAAAAAAAACATGGCGCAAGATTCCACGAAACTGAAACTGAAACTGAAAGTGAAAGTGAAAGTAAAGCATTTTCGTAGGTGTGTCTGTTGTGTGTGTATGTAATGTGTGTAGGTAGGCTACATATATGTGTACGTCTGTTTATGTGTGTGCGCGCGTGCGTGTGTGTGTGTGTG